TAAATTTCAGCATATTCTAAGAGAAGGAAATCAGTTAGCGGACTATTTTGCAAACATTGTTTTAGACAAAGAAAGATACAGATACTCACAGTTTAAAAGCATAGAGACAAGAGGAATGAAGATTTTAAATAGTGACAAGTTACAATGCCCATATTTAAGAATTGCACCAAACAGGGGATAAGAAGGGCAAGGAAGATACAACATCAGTTTTTTTCACAAGCACAACATATACAAAATCCATATAGGGGAAAAGTGTGAAATGTTATCTAGCATAAATTACTTTAGCCAACAAAAAAGACTCCGCAAAAGGGGAGGAATTGAAGTCAAATTGAATCGATTACACCTGGAAGGAGAACGAGAGCACGAAGAGACGGAAGCGGTGGGTTCGCCAAGGCAGCATCAGTGGTTCAGATGTTGGGTGGGAGGAAATAAAGTGGAGTAAATGTTTTAGGAAACCCAAATCTAATGGAAGTGTTTTTGTAGGAAGAAAGTTTATTCAGTTAAAGTGTGTATTTCCTTTTTTCCTGAGTTATCAAATAAAAGGATCCCAAATTTTTATTTTAAAAATAATAATAATAGAGTATTAATTTATTAAAACAATTTCTTTAAAATTATTAAAATATTCAAGATAATAAATGAAATAAAATGTTTTTATTGAATGGTTCAATAAAAAAGCCCCTCGATAAATTTAATCTACCTCAAATTCTCTTGAAATCAGACATATACCCTCTGATCCATATAATAAGATATTTTTATTTGGACATACATGTTAAGAATTTACTTCTTTCTATAAAGTATATAAGATATTCTTTTTTTAAAAAAAAAAGGGGGAGCGGGGAGAAAACAAAGGAAAGAATTATAATCTACAGAATGAAACTCTCATAATAAGATGAAAATTTACAAAGTCAATTAACTAGGATATTAAAATTTCGTGCAAAGTAAGATGCATTTTTTTTTAATTCAATAAGAAACTACATTACGTATGCTTATTGTTAGAGCTGTCAATATGGGTTAGCCCACCCCATCCGGGCTAGCCCATACAGGCTTTCACATTTTACGGGCCAGGTCAGGCTAGCCCATTTTTGGTGTGGGCCAGAAAACGGTCGGTCCAACCCACGAGTACGTGGGCTACAGGTTTGCCGGGCCAGTCCACTTTTTTAAAAGTTATATATATTTTTATAATTATTAAAATTAAATTATAATTTAAAAATATTATCATAAATATCGACAAAACAATATTACATGGTGTTAATGTTACTACTTGTTAATCAAATCCACAAATAAAATTATCCATGAAACTTATGGCGTATCTAACACTTCATGAAACCTATGGCGTATCTAACACTTCATGATCATCTTCATCAAGCATATCTGAATCAACTTGTGGGAAGGTTGTCTTAACATCTTCATTTTCATATGCAATTTATATGTGGTTTCAATTAGTTAAATATTAAAAAATAACTAAATTGAGAATTATAATATTTAAATGTACACAAAAATATATTAATTACCAGTTTGAGAAAAACCATGTAACCAGTTTCGAGTAGCAACAAGTGTTTGGACATTTTCATGGTGGATGCAACTTCTATACTTAGTGATTTCTAAAAAACTTTAAATAGATTCTGAGTTTGGATCTCTTTAATTTTAAATTTTAATATTATATTATATTTTTTAATTAATTTGTATTAGCCCACGGGCCGGCCCTACCTATATTTCTCAAGCCCCACAAATCAGCAAGCTTATTCAGGCCGGGCTAAAAAGCCCTTTTTTTAAATGGGCTCCAAATTTTTTAGCCCAGCCCTATTAAATCCCGGGTTAGGCCAGGCCGGTCCAACAGGCCTAGCCCATATTGATGGCTCTACTTATTGTGGAATTTCAATTTTCATTAAAGAGATTCAAAAAGTAAAAAAAGGATAATTAAAAGGAGAGTTTAAAATCAATTATATAATATACATAAAATTAATTTTAATCGCAATAAATAATATAATTTCTCTCAAAAAGTGATTCATATGACCCCTCTATCCACTTTGTTTTACAATATGCGCATAAATGTATCATAATTATTAATTACTTTACCATATGATTGTTCATATAGTATATCATTATGTATTGTATTTTATATTTGCCCATTAAGATAACTCAAAATATAATTCAAACACACAAAAAATATAAATTGAAAAAGAATAGAAAAAAAGAAACAGCCAATGGAAGATTGTCACTTGGAATATTCTTCCTTATCTTTTTTCTAACAAACTCACAATTGATTTCCCTCACGTCACTTTCACCCGTACAAACACACTCTCCATTAATAAAAGAGCACAGGCACACTCACGTATCGGAAGGGAATATCACTTGGTCTGTTTGGAAAGTCACTTGATAATTAAAATTGGTGTAATTATCAGCCTAGTAATTACATTATCTATTAATTACATTGATCTGTTTGGTTGTCACGGTGTAATTATACATGTCATGTTTGGATGTCACAGTGTAATTACACATGTTCTATTTGGATGCACAATTGCAATTATAAAATTATAATGAATTTTAAAAATAAAAATTAATTATTTAAAATTTATACTAGACAAATGAGAAACTTTATAAATGACATTAAATTAAATATTTAAGATATATATTCTTTTTTGAAAATATATTTATTAATAAACATATTTTCTGTAACTAATATTATGAAAAAATAATTGATTTATATTTTTTTCAAATTATTATATTTCAATTGAATTGATTGTAATAACTAAAAGTATGAAGTTTCTACGAATCTCGTGAAATGTATGTTTGATAAAAAGAATAATACATAAATAAAATGTCATAAATTATTAAATATTTGACAAAAATATAATCTATCAATTTTAATTAAAAAATGACGTATGTGAATTCAATATTACTAAAACAAATGAAACTGAAAATATAACATAAGTTATAAATTCAAAACAAAAAATTTAACATAATACTCTTATAACAAATTTCAACATAGCAATAAATATGATTTATTTTTATTTTTTCTTAATAAAGAAAACGTAAGTCTATAACCTTACTTAACAATAA